AGATAGATAGATAGATAGATAGATAGATAGATAGATAGATAGATAGATAGATAGATAGATAGATAGATAAGAAAGAGAGGCAGGTAAGCAGGCAGATGGGCAGAAGATGGACAGATAGAAAGATGGAGAGATGAAGAAAGAGAGCAAAAGAGTGAGAGTCAACCCACAGGATAAAGAAAGAATTCGCTGCAGTGTTTCACCTGGGAATTGGAAACGTACTTTCTGCTTTCTGCTCTGAAATTTTGGAGGTGATACATTCAAGCGTGGGTTTCATCCCAACAAAGAGCTCCTACTCTATATATGGTCAAGAGAAAATAAAGTAGCTACTTATCCCTCCATCCAGGGCACTCAGCTTGCCACAAAAGGAGGGTTGTGTTTCCTTGAAGATGGATAGTCTCCCTCTGGATGAAATATTGACAAAAGGAACAACATTGCAACGTATTCTAGGGGGGGGGGGGAAATCAGCTCTCTAAGAAGGGTGGAGGTGATTCATTACATCTTTTATGCATGTCTAGAAAATAGATCAGAAATCAGCAAATGCTGAACTAAGGCCACACCTAGAGTCCTGCATCCAGTTTTGGTCACCACACTATAAAAAAGAGATTTGAGACCTGGAAAGAGGGCAGGGAAGAGCAACCAGGATGATGAGGGGACTGGAGGCTAAAACATACAATGAACGGTTGCAGGAACTGGGCGTGGCTAGTCTAGTGAAGAGAAGGACCAGGGGAGACAGGATAGCAGTCTTCCAATACCTGAGGAGAGGCTACAGAGTGGGGGGCGTCAAGTTATTTCCCAAGGCACCTGAAGGCCAGTCAAGGAATAATGGATGGAAACTGATCAAGGAGAGATTCAACCTGAAAATAAGGAGGTACTTTCTGACAGTGAGAACAATCAACCAATGGAGCAACTTGCCTTCAGAAGTTGTGGAGGCTTCATCACTTGAGACTTTCAAGAAGATATTGGGCTGCCATTTGTCAGAAGTGGTGTAGGGTCTCCTGCTTGAGTTGGGGGGGGGTTAGATTAGATGACCTATAAGGTCCCTTCCAACTCTGTTAATCTGTATTTTATTTTCCCTGAAGGATTGCACAATATTCCATCTATTATCCCTTTATGTAAATAGCCCACATTAATGTCAGTTGCTAGATCAGCAGGGAGAGAGCATGAAGAGAAAAAAAGGGAAAATTTTATAAAACAGCGTGGATCAAATCCTATTTTAGAATTTGGAGTTTCAAAATTTGTGGTGTCAACTGGTTTAGAATGCCGTGGAGAAGATATTGAAGCTGTGAAAAGAACGGGAGATAATCTTACAAGGTGGCATGGAAAACTGGGGGATATCCAGGTTTAATTCTCACAGTGGCTTCTGAGCTTGTTGATCAGAAGGTTGGCACTTCAGCGGTTCGAATCCCTAGCACCACGTAACGCATAGTATTCCTGCAACAGACGAAATGACAACATTGCTTCGTTTCTTGTTCTCTTCTTTTCTTCAAGTTCTTTTCCTTTCTACTTCAACTGATACCTAACTAAAAATCAATGCTGGATTGTTCTAAGTTCCTTTGCATGCTTTCCACTTTCCCATGTTGGAAGAAATGTCCATCTGGGTTCAGTTCCATGCGTGCGTGCATGTGTGTGTGTGTGTGTGTGTGTGTGTGTGTGTTTGTGTGTTTGTGTGTTTGTGTGTGTGTGTGGAGACATTGGATTCATGGAAGCGGCTTGGAAAGAAGGTTTAGCAATAGCAATAGCAATAGCAGTTAGACTTATATACTGCTTCATAGGGCCTTCAGCCCTCTCTAAGCGGTTTACAGAGTCNGCAGAAATCTTGGCTCATAAGCTTCAATCAAAGGGTGAAATGTCACCCTCAAGCGTACACTTTGGGGTTGATCTAGATGACCTCTGGGGGACTCTCCCCCTTCTTCTAAGCGAACTGACGAATTAGGTGGCCTTACCTGCTTCAGAAGGCTCCGCAAGGCTTCTCAGACCCCAAAGGCCTCTCCTGGCTAGGATCTAACGTGGCATCTGACCTTGGAGGGTCCTTGGACGGTGGAACTTGGCCAAGCCCACCAACAACGCTTTGCCTTTCCAGAAAAGGCTCCGGTGACAGCAGCAAAGGACGAGATCCGAACACGGCTCGGAGCCCCTGCAAGCGGGGGAGAAAACAGTCCCCCCCTTCCTGGGCCCATGCCGGACGCTGCCTTTCATCCCTCTGCAAGACTCTCTCTCAACTCTGCCTGGTCTTTAATTCTTAAAACCCCTCCCTTTCTCTCCTTCTTTCTTCCCTCTCTCCTTCCTTCCTTCCTTCCTTGCTCCCTCCCTCCCTTTCTCTCCTTTCTTCCCTCTCTCCTTTTTTCCTTCCTTGCTTCAGCCCTTTCTCTCTTTCTTCCCCCTCTCCTTCCTTCCTCCCTTGCTCCCTTTCTCTCCTTCTTTCTTCCCTCTCCTTCCTTCCTTCCTTGTTCCCTTGTTCCCTTTCTCCCTTTTCTCCTTCCTTCCTTGCTCCCTTTCTCTTTCTTCCCTTTCTCCTTCCTTCCTGCAAGTGGGAAATTCTCTTTCGCCCCCCAGGCTTTTGCCAGTAGGATTTATTTTGTTTTAAAAACCTGTAACCCTCAAAAGAGATGATGATTTGTCGTTTCATAGCCGGGCCGGCCAGCTAAAAGTGGCAGAGCTTTGGAACAGAAGTGGGGGAGAAAAAAAATCTACTGGATCGAAGGAGGAAAAAGGATCCACGGGAAGAGAGGCAGAAATCCGAAAAGCAGAAATTCAAAGTAAGTTGTTTTTTTTCCCTTCCTGGCCCACTTCCGGCTTTTAGCTCTGGCCAGCTGGGGTGGGGGCTGGGCTGAGAGCAGAGGGGGCTATTTTTATCCTGCCTTTATTGTTGTCTTTATAAATAACTCCGGGCAGCCCAGCGGTGGGCTTGGTGCCAGAGATGATTCCCAGAGAAACTGACAGGTCTGTGGCCAGGGAGGGGGGAGGGAGGGGGGGGGGAAAGATTGGGAAATCATCTTTTAGTTTTTGCAAAGATGAAAATGCTTCCTTCCTTCCCTCCATTCCTCTCTTCCTTTCTTTTTCTATCCAACCCTTCTTCTATTCCTCTTTCCTCCCTCCCTTCATCTTTTTTTTGTCATTTCTCCCTTTTGATTCTTCCCTCCCTCCATTTCTCCCCTTTCCTTCCTTTCTCTTTCCTCCCTTCCTTTTCTTCTTTCTTCCCTCTCTCCTTCCTTTCTTTCTCCCTCCCTCCATTTCCTTCATCCCTCTCCTTCCTTCACCATTCCTCTCTTCCTTTCTTTTCTATCCAACCCTTCTTCTATTCCTCTTTCCTCCCTCCCTTCATCTTTTTTGTCATTTCTCCTTTTTCCTTCTTCCCTCCCTCCATTTCTCTCCTTTCCTTCCTTTCTCCTTTCTTCCTTTCTCCCTCCCTCCCTTTCCTTCTTTCTGCAATCTCCTTCCTTCAAAATTCCTCTCTTCCTTTCTTTTCTATCCAACCTATTCCTCTTTCCTCCCTCCTTTCCTCCCTCCCTCTCTTCCTTCTATTATATCACCTCCCTCCCTTTATCTTATTATTTCTCCTTTTTCCTTCTTTCCTCCCTCTATTTCTCTCTTTCCTTTCTCCTCCCTTCCTTGTTCCTTCCCTCCATTTCTCTCCTTCAGTCTTCCCTCTCCTTCCTTTCTTTCTCCCTTTCTTCCCTCTCTCCTTCCTTCCTTGCTCCCTTTCTCTTTCTTCCCTCTCTTCCTTCCTTCCTTGCTCTCTTTCTCTCTCTCTTTCTTTCTTCCCTTTCTCCTTCCTTCCTTCCTTCCTTGTTCCCTTCCATCCTCCCTTTCTGAATTCTGCCAGCAGAGGCCGCTATGGAAGTGAGCAAACTTTTCATTTTGAACATTTTATATGGGGAAACTCTTGAAATAATCCACCCGAATATTTCCTTTAGAAAGCATTTTGTGTCTCCCAATCTCCATATCTTCCATCAGTAAAAGGGGGGGAGGCAACAAATTAAGCCCTTTTTAGAGGGGAAGATGGAAGATCCCAGATGGCCCCTGGGACAAATAAGAATAACCCGGTGCCCCCGAACAAAACCAATCCATAAATATGTCTATTCTTTGCAACAAGCTATAAATAAACCGGGGTTATGTTCGTCTGGGAGATGCCAAAATGCAGAGATAATCCTCATTCACGCCAAGTTTACTGCTGCACTTCAGCACCAAAGGCACAAACCTTTGTGAGCCCCAGAAATTTCTCAGCCCAGGAGGCTTCCTGTTGCTCCTCTGCGTGAGTTGCTGTTCTGGGATGGTTTCAATTTCTACGCCATTCAGAGACACAATGGGGAGGCTCCTGGATGGTCCCACTGATCAGGCAGATTACATCTGATTTATTAATTCCCCTTATGGATCTAAACAGTTCGACTGCTTTGCAACGCAACGCACCTTGCAAAATAAAATATGATACAAACTATGGTAAGCTATAAACTAGACTATGATATAAACTCGACTAAACTATAATATAAACTAAATTATAAGCTAAGCTAAACTAAACTAGAAATGATAAAAGTATGAACGTCCATCTGGCTGTGCGATGAGCCAAGAATAAAGCTATAATAGAATAAAAGAAAGTAAAATGAAATGATAATAATAAAATAAAGTGTGAACATCCGTCTGACTGTGTGATGAGCAAAAAATAAAATGATAATAAAATAAAATGATAATAATGAAATAAAGTGTGAGCATCCTAAGGACTGTGCGATGAAGCAAAAATAAAACTATAATAGAATAAAATAAAGTAAAATACTAATACTAATATTATTAATAATATAATAATACTAATAGTACTATTGATAATATTACTATTGATAACATTACTATTGATAATGACTATTATTATTATTATTATCGCAACAACAGAATTGTATCACAGCGGCCAGTTGTTTCGCCGGATTTGGCATT